AGTCTTCTCCTTGTTCCAGATGAAAGTTTAGAGGGACGGCCGGGTCTGGGTAGATTTGCAGTGGTCTGATACTCCTTCCATTTCAATATGATTGCTTGCACAGTGCTCCTTGGGATGTTTAAAGCTTGGGAAATCTTTTTGTATCCAAATCCAGCTTTAAATTTCTCCACAACAGTATCTCGGACCTGCCTGGTGTGTTCCTTGGTCTTCATGATGTTCTCTGCACTTTGAACAGAACCCTGAGACTATCACAGAGCAGGTGCATTTATACAGAGACTTGATTACACACAGGTGGATTCTATTTATCATCATCAGTCATTTGGAACAACATTGGATCATTCATAGATCCTCACTGAACTTCTGGAGTGAGTTTGCTGCACTGAAAGTAAAGGGGCCGAATAATATAACACGACCCACTTTTCAGTTTTTTATTTGTTAAAAAGTTTGACACATCCAATAAATTTCATTCCACTTCACTATTTGTTCCACTTGTTGTTGATTCTTCACAAAAAAAAAAAAAAATTTTACATCTTTATTTTTAAAGCCTGAAATGTGGCAAAATGTTGAAAAGTTCAAGGGGGATGAATACTTTCGCAAGGCACTGTAGTTCATGCACAGATGTGAGCAGCAGAGGGAACTGTTGCTCACAGTCGTATGTTAATAGTATTTCCTCCAGCAGTGGGTGACAAAAGTAAATAAACACAGCTTTAGGTCCAGTGGGTGGTGGTGTCCGGTTTCAGGGGAATCGTGACCATAATCTGCTGGAAAACAAAGATGTACTGTAATAAAATTCACATCTCTCTGACAAAACATCCCACTCACATTCCACACATCTGCCCCCCCCCCCCCCCCAACCTCAGCCCCCTCCATTAAAAACTTGTCCCTAACTAATTTTTATTATCCCAGTTGCTTCAGTATTTGTTTTTCTTGAGTCATCTGTTAATTCTTTACATTCCTCACCTTCTGATCGAACATTATGTCAGTGTAAAAAATATAGTTTGTTTTTTCAAGACGACCCCCCCCCCCACACACACACACACACTCACACACACCATAAAAATGCTACTGTCTTTATTTATTGTATTGTTATTGTACTCTATTAGTCCCCAATGAGGAAATTAATTCTCTGCATTTTTCCCATTGCACATGTGAGCACACACATGTGAAGCAGTGGGCTGCCATCCAAGAAGCCTGGAGAGCAGCTGGAGGGGTTAAAGGCCTTGCCCAGGGCCCCAGAGTGGGGCAAATAAGGGTGGAAGCAGGTGTGGATGTTCCCCCTTTTCCACCCACATTTTGATGTTGTCGGTCCGGGAGTTGAGCAGCGACCCTCTGACCACAGGCCCACTCTCTCTAACCTCTGCGCCACCACACCCCTGCAGCCACAGTTAGACTTCTGTTTCCAATCATATTCAATCAAAATAAAACAAAATTGATTTTAACCGGCCTGTTTTTTTTTTTTCAAACAAAACAAACAGTTTATTTGACTGTTTCTGACACACTAACATGTTACAACACAGAGACTGAAAGTCAAAACCTACAACTACTAACAAGAACTTTGTTTTTCCTGATTCCGTACAGAATTAAAAGTGTGAATGACGAAAAGGTGGATAATGCTCTCCAGCACAGCCACTTCAGGGCTCAGGCCTTGAAGGAAGTGTTTGATTCTGAAAACCCCGTCCTCGTTAACTTTCGTGTTTGGGATGAAGGCAGCACAAAAACCGAGGATAGTGAGGTAACTCATACAGACTTTTTTCTGTTTTTAAGCATCAAACCGTGAGCTTCAAACGCTGAAAACTCTTTTGATGCATTCATTACAACTATAAGGGTTTCTTCATTGCCCCTCAGTGCTCATCGATTTCAAAATAATCTCACATTGTTTTCAGAAAAACATTGTGAACGCACCGGGTGCATTTTTTTCCTTTAAAAAAAATATAAATATAAAATACAAAAAAAATGCACTTAAAGTAATATTTTTCATCTTTTCCATTTCTCATTTTTCATAGAATGTCAAGCTCAACTAACTGGAGTTATACTGTTCTGTTTATGTTCTTTAGGTCAAAGTTAAAGCATTGATAGATCCGACTAAACAAGACGAGCAGATCGGTGTTTCGCTGTCTGCCCCGAGCTCAGACCTGACGTGGCTGGAAACTAAAGCAGAAGAAGTCAGTGCCAAGCTGTAATATCAAGGAGATTCTGATGATGTTAAACATAGATGTTTATCTGGTTTCTCCATGATGTTGCAGATTGTGGGTTACGAAAGCGCCCCTTTCACCTGAGTCTGATAGATGATGCCGAGTTGTTTTTGGCATGCCACTGCCTGATTTATCATCATTTGCAGAATGAGAAAAACAACTACTTAGCTGTACACTGTCATAAAAATAACAAATTGTAAAACCTGCTGGTCCTTTTTCACCTCACAAACTCCCTGCGTAACGATAAAGTAACGTGTGGGAGGTCTTTGATGTTTACATGTAAAAAAAGGGGGCACTTTCAAACTTTAATTGTGTACAAAAATAGTTTATTTTTACTTAGTTAAGTTTGGCTGCTGCTGGTTTCTGACCATCAGTATATTGTAACAGGCTGTAAAAGATGATAATAAGCAACATTCTGAGGAAAAGAAACGCCTGAGAGAAACCGTCGCAGAGATACGTCACACTGTAAGTTTTTTGACCATTGCTTTCTATTTACAAACGTAAAATCTGTTTTTGACTCTAGTAAGACTTCAGTCGTAATATGCAGCTAAAACATTAACGAAAGTTGCACATGCAAGTGTTCTCTAATAAGACACAGAGAGGAGTGAGAGTGTTTATTCCTTGGGTGTTTGGATCCAGAAGATGCTTCGTGAAAACAACGCCGTCCATCTAAAACCGTTCGACATAGATGTGGAGGAGCAGAGGAGACTGGAAGACATGGTGGAGCAGGAAGCCGAGAGGGTACTGCAACCCAACCTATAGACTCGGTCCTAAATTGTGCCTCAGACTCATCCTTATTGTCCTCATTGTTCAGGAGAGAGCTGAAACTGAGCAGAGCATCGCAGAGATGTGTTACCTCCAGGGTGTCCTGAGAGAACGCTGGGATTCTTGGATGGTTAAAAGCAGGGCCATCAAGGTAAGATAGCTTAGTCCGAATGAGACGTTTGCTTCTTTATTAGCTTTTAATGATTTGTTTCTGTCACAGGCTTTCTACTCGGAACCGATTGTACAGAATTACCCTCTCAGTGAGCGAGCACAGAACGAACTGGAGGACCTCCGCAGGGTTCAGAATATGAGGAAACTTGACGAGGCGGCCCGCACCGTAAGCAAGATTGGTGGTTTGAATTCAGATTGACGCAGCAAAAAGTAAAGCACGTGCAGCGAGTTAGAAAACCATGTTCGCTGCGTGAATGTGAAGCAGAAGTGCAGCATTGCAGCGTTTTCTAAAGGGTGTGGCAGTGCAACTTTTTTTTTTTTTTTATAATCTTTTTTCTTTTAAGTACATTTTATTCCAAAACCATTCAAGTCAAAACAAGTTTACTGCAGGAACATAATTTGATGCTTTGAATCCCAGTCCTTCATCTGACCTTTTACCGCTGTAACTTTTCCAAATACTTGAAAATGCGCCAGTCCAGTAGTGTTGAAACTCTTCAAGATTTATAGACTTGAGGCTCCAAGTAAGTCGCTCTGTGCTGAAGTGTTCTTTGATTGCGTTTGTAATCTTCTGGCCACAGATTCAACACTCTCGTTTTTCTCAGCTAAGTTTCTGTGTTCCCACCTTTAACCTGCAGCCGAGCAGCGCAAAGAACGGTTCCAGGGCAGAAGACCAAAAAAAGGAGGAGGAAGGCCGCAAGGCAGAGAGCGCTGCTTTGAAAGGAAGCTTCTCGGCCCAGTTAGGCTTTTCAAACCCTTACATCTACGACCAGTTCAGCTTACAAACCATAGAACAGAGGATTAATCAGACGGTTCTGCTGCAGGTGGGAACCTGTTAAATCTAAGCAAAGTTAAGCAGCATTCAAAATACACACTGAAAATAAATCACAGTCATTTAAATTATTTACAGACTCTACTATTTATGGCTCCTGTCATCCACATTCTAATTATTATTTACTCCTTCACTCAACTCCAATGCAGGATGTGATTTATAGCATCAAGATGGCGTTCAACACAGAGTTTGAAGCACGGCACAGACAGAAGCTGCAAGAGCTCAGACGAGTGGGAACCAGGAACAAACGGATCAGAGAGATCATGCAGGAGCTGGACGTGAACCGGGAGCTGTGGGAGTCTGGTCTGATGGACAGCGAGTGGCCAGAAAGGCTGCTCACTGTGGACGACTCTGAGGTAAGTGTCCTCACAAACTGTCCAAGCAGTGGACGCAGTTCACGGAAAGTGAAACAACGCATGTGCACAAGTTGAGCTTCTTTGTTGTTTGTTTGTTTTGATTCTGACTTGTGAGCTAGTGTGTGATTATCATCATGTGACATTGCCTTTGACCCACTTCAGATTCAAGCAGAGAAATACCTCACCCCGGAGGAGGAGGAAGAGAGGAAGAAGATGGAGGAAACTTATCTGGCTGCTAAGGTTTTCATTTTTGCTTGATCAACATTTATGCATTTGACAAATCCATTTATATGTAACGTGCACATTTAGGTATAATTCCTATTGACATACAGTGAAAAGTACATTTGTTTTTATACTTTATCATAAAGCAATGAAAAGCATACATTTGTTATATGTTGTCTTGCATGTCATGAATAGAAGGTCAGCTGAGCCATACTGATGCTTTTTATTATTTAATTTCAGGGTGACGACAGCAGAGAAAAGGCTCTGGATGACATGATGGACGGAGCGCTTCAAGTGCAAAAAGTGGACATTTTAAAAATGGTGAAACTTTCTGTTCACATGTAAACACTAGAAAAATTTAAACACTTGTTACTTACAAAAATATTCTAGAAAATCAACCGTTTCACTTTAATTGATCAATTATTGTGCATTTCTTTGCGCACATTTAGATTTTTCTGATTCTGATTGATGTTAATAAATGAGCTGCTGGATATTTGAGTGTCCAGTTGACTTCATATGCCTTAAAATGAAATTTTATGAATCTTAGAATGTCTTAGATCTCAAAACCTCATTTTGGTTATTATCACTGAAAATGTTTTGGAGAGAAAACTTTTTTTTTTTTTTTTAAACAAAAAAGTGAGTTTAATTAAACAATCCTTTTAGGCTGTTGGAAAAAAAGTTATTTTCTTCCCAAATATTTTAGATAATTCATTGAAATAACTCATCAATATGATTTTAATTGGTAATAATGAGGAATATTTTAATAAAAATTTTGAATTTTATGGTTTATTAATTGATGATAATTTAACATTTAATCTCATTTTATGCTGAAAAACAAAATAGCAATAATTTTTCACCTACACTTATTTTTAAATTTAGCTGCATCAGTAACAAACCACTTGTAATCCATTGTGTTCTTAGTTATTTCTTTAGACTAATGATGTGACTCTTATGCAGTGTCAGGTGAGTTAGACAAACCAGCAGGATGAGCATCTAGTGCGTGTTTTAAAATTGTCTCCACAGGAAATCCCTGTGCCCGAGTTTGTTTTGACCAAACCTGACAACCACTGGAGTGAGGAGGAGAAAAACGTCTACAAAGAGTTTGAAAAGAAAACAAAAGAGCTTAATGAGGAGAAGGACAAATACAAAAGGGTATTACAGATTACTCAATCATTTCTGTTTGGTGTGTTTGTCATTATCTTTGATGTAAAGTATCTATTAACTCTGGGCTTTGTAGTCTTTGGAAATTGAAATGAGAAACCTGCAGAAATTCAGCAAAGAAGGGACTGAGAAGTTCGATGAAACGCTGACAAAACTAATGGAGAAGAAAGTGGAACATACAGCAGCTATTTACCAGGTGAGTGTAGACAGGCGGACACAGAAATAAGCTGCATGAGTGAGTGGTTCTGTTATTCAAATGTTTCGGTGTGTTTCACAGGAAGAGCTCATGATCATCTACCTTGCAGACTCTGTGCTCACAGAAGAAGAGATGAGAAACTCGGAGCTGGAGCTCAAGCTCCAGCTTGAAAATCTGCTGGCGAACAAGGTCAGAGAACCCGTGGACGGTGTTAAAAATGTACGGCTGCCAACTTTCGCATCAGTTTGCAAAAAGTGGCAGCAGCGTTTGTGTGAACTCTGCTGCATCACTGCTCAGGCATGTTTTGATGGAGTGTGCATCAGGAACATCTGTCGGTCCAACTGGCAGTTCTTTTTTTCTTCTTCTAGCTCTGCTAGCTAACATCTTTACCTGCGTTTATCTGACAGCATGGAGCCAGGGAAGAGGTGGTGAGACAAGAACACGAGGTGGAACTGTTTCAGGAGGCATACAAGGACCTTGTATCTGCAGACAAAGTACTGATAAAATACTGAAAACATTACAGATTTAACAATGTGAGGTATTTAAGATGAATTTCTCCTAAAGGCTCTTGATGGGGTCTTCAGGAAGGAGTTTTCAGACGTACCGACCCCAATCGTTGATCATCTTTACAAACTGTTCAAACGTAGACCCAGGTTTGCTTTCACTTTCAGACCAACTGTGGACTAATACAAGCTCCTGCTAACATATTATCTGGACTGGTTTCTGCCTCAGAGTTCAGATGATGAGGGCCCAGACTGGAAAGACCTCCGAGTTTAAAGAGCATCGTCTGCACGGCTCCCTGGTTCTTGATGCGCTCAACGAAGTGCTCAAAGGCATGGAGGAGCTGGATTCTCTCACGTGCATGCCAGAGGGTCTAGACCTGTCCATCTGGGACAGAATGTGTCTTTTGCGCAGAGCAAAAGTGGAGAGTGAACAACAGGTAAAGAACCGAAACGTTAAAGATGGAAAACAATGTATTTTCAGGTCCAGAAAAATCTTCTTCTTACATCAGACAAGCAGGGTGGTTTAAAATATGGACTATCCAGCTTTTGAACTGATTTCAACAAATTGCAGTGTTTGTTTTTATTTCACTGTGTGTAAAATGGTTTTCAGGTGCAAATGAAAGCCTTGACTCTTGCTGAGATGCAGGCCTTTCTGCAGAAAAGGAATGACGAAGTGAAAGCTGCCCAACAGGAAATTACAAACTGCTCTGAGGTGCTGAAGAGGTACGACTGATGTTCATTTACGCTAGAGCTCAAACTCTGACAAAGTGGCACTCGAGATTCATTCTTACGTCTCTGCTTTGTGACATAAACTGCAACAATTCTGTCTCGTTTGAAGCTCATGAGTGTTTTTTTGCTCTCTGCAGTCTGCATAAAGAGAGGAATGATCACCTGATAAACACCAGGGTCCAAGTTGTGCAGAAACAAGGACAGGTGGAGATGCTAAGCCCCGTCCTGTCAGTTGGCAGCATGAGCACCAACTTCCTTTGCCACAAAAGCATGGTAGACAAGCTCAGAGGACAAAGCATGGTCAGCCTGGACACCTTTATCAGATCAAAACAAAACTTTCAAGATGATAATATTATAGTTTTAGCATTTTATAATCAATTCCGGTCTTATCAGGGTCTTGAAGAGGAGGAGATATACACCATGAGGAAGAACGAAAATGCCCTCAAGAAAATAATGCAGCTGGAGTGGAAGCAGAGTGTGCTCGAGAACGAGATCCAAGATCTCAAAGAGAAGACGGACATCAAGATGCTGCAACTCTCTAACCAGCAACAGGATATAGGAGTAATTCAGTTTCTAAACGTTAGAGTAATTATTTTCAGGGAGCTCCATCTTTTCTTCTTTCTTTAATATACATATATTTTACTGGATATTTATATTTGACGTAGTATAATTTGTCAAGTTTTTTTACAAAGTTCAGGATCAGGTTTAATCAACGTGAAATCGCTGCATTTGGGTTGAAATGTTAATCCTGTTAGCGTGTCTGGCCAGGACTCCTGGCTGCCATTTCAAGGCAGGTATTTTGGTTTTGGCAGCGGCAGATGTTTTGCGAGCAGAAAATTGTTTCCATCTCTTAGTGCAGATGGGCAAATTTTTTTTAATTTTTATAGAACGCTCACACCCTTTTTCACCAAGCCTCCCTGCCGAATCGTTTCTTCCCTCTAACATTTAGAACACATACCCAGTAGGCAGATCCACGTCAAATCATTTATTTTTCTTTGTTGATTCTGTTCAGAAATGTTTGTTCAGTTCTGTTTGTGTTTTTATTCAAAATGACTTCCTCTGAGAATAATTTGGCTGCAAACCAAAGGCAGGAACAGGCAATTTAATTAAACGTGTCAGACAAGGTGATGCTTGGCTCAACATATTAGCCATTTTTAAGAAGTCTAAAATGCAATGAAAACTGATCAGTTAAGTCGTTTGTTGCACTTTAAAATAAACTAAGAAGCATGTGTTTTTACTGTAATGCCAGTTTCCTTTGGCAAAAGGTGGCTTCTTATTTCCTGACATTGTTAAAGGCCCTGAAACCACGTGAGAGGAAAGTTTTGAGTACAAATAAATCGACCCTTAGGGATCCATAGTCCTTCCTAATGAAGAGTTTGAACACACTGATTGTGAGTTTTTAATGAAAAGATGCAATGCAGAAACTGAAAACTAAAACCTTACTTGAGTGCTTTTATCTGTTTTCCAGTTCTTTTTATTTTTTAATCCAACCCAGTTTGTTTGCTTTCCAGTGCTGCGATAAGGACCAAGCTCAAAGCATAGCTTTGATGAAAAAGGTAGAAAGAAAATGACCTAAATTTTAATCTCATCCATTTGCTCTGCATTATTTACCTTTAATACATACTGGTAAAATAATCTACAATTTCAGATTCATCAGCAGAAGGTGCAGCAATGCCAGAAAAGAATCGACCAGATGAAACAACAGGAAGTAAATAAAACAAATAGCTGTGAGAGTTTTGAGCAGCAGCTTCCTGAACTACAGGTGACTGTTGCAGAGCTGACGAGCATCTGTGGTTTGGCAGGTAATAAAAGCCGCCACTTCAGCTACCAAGGGCGTTTTCTTCCTGTTCTAACCAATGTTGTGTTTCTTTTGTTGCTTTAGCCACCGAGGAAAACCTGGCAGCCGAAAGAGAAGAGCGCTACCAGGAGATCCTTCAGAGGAAGACGTGGAAGGAGACAGCCATTTCTCATGCAGACGAACTGTTTTTCCTCAGCGAAGAAGTGGAGCGTTTGAAAAAGAAGAATTACATCTCCCTTGATGAGCTGGAGCACCACAACTAAAACCAGATTATTTATTTATTTGCAACTCGCAGAACATTAATTATACATTTGCTGTGAACAAGAACTAATAAAACTTTACTGAATGTGAAAGAGTCATGAGAATGTCCTTATAATGCTTCAGTAAAGTGTCACGTGTTGCTTAACATCATGAAGAGAAGTCGTCCTCGGAGCGGTCAAAGTGCAGAATGCTGTGGTCCAGGCCAAACAGGTCCATGAGCTCAGACAGGCTGGCCCTTCGTCCATCGATGGGGACTTCTGACTGGAGCTCATACAGGCCAGCCTGAGCACAACTGCGCCACTTGTTGATCAAGGTTTGGAGCTGGGTTAAATCATTCTAAAGGAAGAAAAGGGCAAATGCTATAAAAATACTGCTTCCAATCTGGTAATTAATTAAAACATAAATCTCATTAAGGTCAATTTATAGATGATACCTTGCTTCTATACATTTTAACCATCTTAAGTCTGCGCAGAGTCTCTGTTTTTGATTTAATCTCCTTCCTGAGTTGTTGTGCAAAGTCTTCTGGGGTGACATGTGTCGGTTCGAGAACAGGTCCAGGTACTTTGTCTGGACCGTGCAGTCCAGCTTCCTCCTCCTCTTCATCCACACACAGGCGTTTGGCCACAGAGACAGGAGAGGTGAAGGATCTCCTGCATCTCTTCAGCCTCTCCCTCAGGGAGGCGCTCAGCTTCGGACGATGCTGCTGCGGTATAACAGGAAAACATAAAGTCTTGCAGTTTGTAGCTTTCAGGCCATATTAGCTAGGTTTCATGAATTTACACAGAAAAAAACAACTCACCTTTTCCTCTTTAAACTCAGAAGGGCTCGATTCGACTGCATAACAAGGCGAACCATACGCAGATTTTAATTTGGGAGTGACCTCCATTGGTCAAAATGACTCAGGTTCATGTAAATTTATTTTTTAAAACTCATGTAAACTCGTTTTAGCTGAGGCTGCGCCATAATGTTTCTGTTTTTCCGTATTTCCGCGGGTCAGTGCCTCCCACGTAAGCGATTGGACAGAATTTGATGACGTTTAGCCAAAAAGCATCACGGGAGTTGTAGTTGTACTTGAAATGACGTTTTCAAGACATTTCTCAAATATGCATCGAGTCGACTCTTTTGAATTACCTATAACTTCTAGTTCAGATGAATTTATGTGTGTAATGACGATTTTTAGGACTTTACTGAACAAAATAAAAATTTCTAAATAAATTGCATGTCACATACATTTTACTAAAATAGCAAAAAAAAAAAGAAGAAGAAGAAGAAATTGGGCTGAGACTACTGTATAAAGTGAAACAACAACATTTTAAATTTACTTATCGTTCTTACTACATTTTATTTTTAGGATTATAATGCAAGGGAACAAATACATTTTTTCAGTTTGAATTGAAAATAAATACAAATAAAGAAACGATCTCGTAACAATTATTTTCAAATTTTGCATGTGAATAATTAACTGTGATGCTTTCATACTTAAATATATGTGTTAATTAAAAATATTTATGCATTTTTAGTAAAAAAAAAAAATGCTGTCAAAAATTTATCCGCCAAAACCTCTAATAAAAATTAAAAATCATCTTTAGCTTTGTTCTTCTTTTTGCTTGGATATCTCTATTTGTACAATATAGCATGAATTATAAACAACTTTTGCAAAGGATGTTTTTCCTAATGACCAACCTTTAAAAGGTTCATAGTGAGTTTTGCATGAAGAAATACCACGAGAATAAACATGTTTATTTGTAATATGCACATAAAATGCTAGCATAAACACAAAAGAGACATCAACTTTGTTTATTACGAAATTTATTAAATTCAATGTTGGTTATAGAAATGTCAGATCAGACAGCTACAACGATGGGCAGGACTAAATGAAAAAGAACGGGCACTTATAGCACAAAGTAAAAGTGGTTTCTTCACGCCTGTGGACTTGTCTGGTACTTGTTGGCCTTCTGGGGTTGAATCATGCTGTGATTCACCTCTTCTCATTAGCTGAATCATCTCCTTTATGGGATTTATTTATACCTCATAAAGTCATTTAGGATTGCTTTCACGCTTGTGAATGATAACTCACTTTGAGTGTTTGTGTGTGTGTGTCTGCGGCCACAAGGAGTGCGAAAATGTAAAATATGATGCTGTCTGGACTTGATCATGAAAACTTGGCAGTACAATACGACACACACCCCAGGGAGATGGGGATTTTTTTTTAAATATATTTTGTATATATGAATCTTTTAGGGCTTAGAGTTGAGGAGACTCAAGAGACTGTTAAGCAGCGCTTTTTTTATACCTCATAAAGTCGACAGAAAATACTTTGCTTGCTTAAAACATGAACGAACAGGCGATGTTTATAGAGTTTAGAGGTTATAATGTTACTAAATCTTTCAACAAATACAAGATTGGCCACTTAGGATTACAAAGTAATGTCATATACTGTATACAAACTATTAATCCTCTATAATATACATACAGCTTTATGGTGTTTGCTCTTAAATTTCAATAAAATGTTGGGATATTCCATTTCTGCGTGTCTGTTTTCAGAAACGTGACTCCATCCGTTGTGTTCCCTCGAGGTGTGTTGTGTGTTGGGTTGGTGAGACATTTTGATTTTCACTCATTATCTACTCAGTGCAGCGTGACTCACTTGTTAACACGTCCTTATCTTCCAGATTTATATAAACAGCATAAAGAACCGTCAGCTGGAGTTTGGCACAAGGTACAACTTGATGAGACAGCAGCTCTGAGCATTACATTTATATCGGTGTGCATTTCACAACTGTGGAAGAGAAACTAGGGCCACGGTAAAAACAATACTATGTTTCTCTGTTCTCAGAAATCTGACAATAAAATCAGAATTCTGACTTTGTTTTCAGAATCTCCGAATTTTGAGACAAAATATATATATTTTTTTCACCATGGCCCTAATCCTCTGTACATAAAAGACAAAAACCAACATGCAGTGAGTCTAAAAACTCAGACCTCTCTAATTGTTATTTTTCACAGCGGACCTGCTGATACAGTATCAGTACAAACCATTGATGTGGTAACTGAGGATTTATTTGGGTGTGGAGCCTCTTTCTGAGCCGCTGTACAATCCTATACATATCCGTTTCTGTTGTTTGATGGAAAAATGTCTGAAATGAAAAAGAGGATGTAAATTAGGGCTTAAAAATAAAATGGTTTCAAAATAGAAGTGTGACATTTAGCCCTAATGACTGTTATGCCAACTGGGTGATTCCTGTTACTGTGCAGATTTGTTTGAATAAACCTCTAAATGATAGAGTTGCCATGTTGGCCATACACGTACAAGCATCTTTAAAGCCAACGCTAAGGCAGAAGTGCTTATTTTTAAGAGTGAGAATGCAAAAGCACTGAATCACCCTTATTTATTCAATTCAACCTTTATTTAGACAGATAAATCACATTGAGCCTCGAAGAGTCATTTACAAGTGAGACCTGTTAAGTCACATAAAAAGTAGTGAAACTGGACACATGTAGGGATTGGAGGCAAAAAAAAAAATCCTATCAAACGCTTTCTTCTTGGCAGAGAAGAAAGACCTGATATTGAAAAAACACCTCACACATACAAGCACATGGTGACGTAGACATTCCGCTGGGGGGGGGGGGGGGGGGGGGGGGGGGGGGGGGGGGGGGACGACGAGAGCGGTGAACATGTCCAAGGACGCTCTCGAGGGCACTGTAGGAGTTCTGATAAGGATGTAATAATCAACCAGTTCCCTCCGGTGAGATCCTTAAACATTCTTGAGGGAATGTCGGGGAATGGCCAAGGACAACGCCTATGAGAATCCAAGAGTCCTGAAGTGATGACACAATGTTTATTCAGCTGGTTTTCTCTGGTTGACCAGTTGGAATTCCTCAATTGGGGGGGTGGGGGTGGGGAGCGTCAGATTACATGTCCTTCAGGCGAATTCAGATAAGGTGTCCTGCAAGGTCAACAAAGGGAGCCAAATTCAGATAAACACACAGTTGTTTTAGGGACAGGCTGAACTTTTGTGACATCTACCTTGAGTCTGTGTTGGTCCAAATGGTTCTGAAATGTCCAAATTATATGGCCATACCGATGGAACGTGCCTGAGAATAATCCCCGAGATCTGATTCATTCTGCCAAAAGATATGAGTCTGGGTGCTTGGGGCACGAACCAAGCCATCATAAGGCAAGCAGCGTGATCGGGTCCAAATTTGCTGCTGACGACTTCCTTGATTGTTGATAAAACCAGCAACCAGCCGAAGCCAAAAAGCAGGAACCAGTTATCATAAATCCAATTATAAATGCATCCTTAAAATCCACAAATGGCAGTAGAGATAGACACATCATCAAGTCTTCCAAGTTGATAAGACATCCAGCTGCGTGCGTGCCAACAGGGCAAAGCGGCTTGCCTAAAGCCTGTCTTCTCTTCATGGAAATGTTATCAGTTGTGTTGAGGCACCAACTGACCAAATCCAAGTCCATAATTGTGGTTCAGAATGCAAGAGAGGCTCAGAAGCAGTTTCGCAGACAAAGCAGAACAGCAAAGCGGAGAGGGAGAGGTGGGGAAAAGAGTCCGTCCTCAGCAAGAGCAAGTGGTGAATGTATGAATTTATAGTCCTTTAAAACATTTTTCTGTATCTCGTTGAACAGTTTTGAAAGAAAAGATGTGGTACAATCTGGAATGGTATGATGTAATCTACAATGTAGACAAAACTAACAAAAACCTGCCTGAAAAAAGACAACATTGACAATCAATGGGATTTTGGCAAAACCAAAAAATCCTGGCCTTGTTTGTAATTCTGCAGTTTAGGTATAATTCGCTGTAGAAACACGGTTCAAAGTTTAAATGTGTCATAGAAAGTTGGATGTTCTGTGTCTGAACTTGCATTTAGCTATCACAGTTTGATGTTTTGTGATTTTTGTAAATTTTTCCATGAAAAGTTTTAGATGTCACCGATTCACACATGCAAATTTAAAACATTTGCAAACAAACTCTTCTTATTCCCACAACTTTGTTTTTGCATACACAAATTCTAAATCAAAATGTTGCTATTTTTGTTATTTCGTATCCAACGTGTCTCTCACTGCCATAGGACTTTTTCATTTTTTCCCCTCAACTCTTCCAAAAAGACAAAGTTCACAGACTTCAGTTATATTTCAGCTCAAAATATTATCTCCAAAATTGAAAATGAAAGTTTTTTTTTTTTAACTTGCATGTCTCCTACATAAAAACACTGTAGAAACATGAAACTTCACACGTGTGACCATTACCGTCTCCTGATACAACGTTCCAAGGATTCTTAAGATCCAACTTATAATCTTTGTTCAGTGTCTGTTTGTTTGAGGCTTACATTTCAGTCTGTTTCTGTCTGCCTCTCCTAAAGTTGCTGTCAGGGAGTGACAGACACATGTATGTGGTTACCATGGTGACCATAATTAGCTACAGGCATCACTTTATACATAACAAGAAAATGATTTTTCGTTGCTTAAATTGTTGTATAATTATGTGGAAATTGTGGAAGCAGCTTCCGTTAAATATTTATTTTTATTTTTTCCGTGTTGCCTTCATTTTCATCTGCGAGTTGTTTTACGTTTTAGGAGCTCGATTGAAATTTAGAAATACAGTAAAGCCGAGAAAACAGCACAAATAATAATAAAAAAATCACAGTTCACATGACATTTGTGAATGTTTTTATGTATTCTTGTTGAAAAATGAATTAGAATTCATCTCTGACTGATCGAATAAACAGTTTCATCTCAAGATGAAGACAAAACTGAAAACAAGATAGAAATATGTATTTTTATCTATTTTATTTATTTATTTTTCAGGTTGTGCCTTCACCTTCTAATAAGCAAGAATTCATAGAAATGGTCTGGGATGTTTTAGCTTTAAAAATATAGACCAAAGTTTTATCTCTCTAAATACTTGCCACGCTCTGTGTTTAAAGACACATTCCCTTTAGATTTTTTTATTGTGTACTACTGTCGAGGGTGAAAATGACCGCCACAGCCAACTGACGGTAAAAAAAACACATATATAGTTATAATATACTGTAGATATCTTTGCAGATATTGAGCTAAAATTGTGTGTGGTTTTACCCACGAGTCAAACTTTTGTCTGTTAGCAAAATAACTCGTGAACCACTGGACAGATTTTAATAAAACTTTCCGAAAGTAGTCTCACATCACATGACGAAGCTGGTCATCAAATTAGAATATCATGAAAAAGTTGGTTTATTTCAGTAATTCCATTCAAAAGGTGAAACTTGTATATTATATTCATTCATTACACACAGACTGATATAATTCAAATGTTTATTACTTTTAATGTTGAGGATTATAATTGACCACTAATGAAAACCCCAAATTCACTATCTCAGAAAATTAGAATATTACTTAAGACCAATTAAACAAAAGGATTTTTAGAAATGTTGGCCAACTGAAAAGTATGAACATGAAAAGTATGAGCATGAAAAGTATGAGCATGTACAGAACTCAATACTTAGTTGTGGCTCCTTCTGCCTGGATTACTGCAGCAATGCAGCGTGGCATGGAGTCGATCAGTCTGTGTCACTACTCAGGTGTTATGAGAGCTCAGGTTACTCTGATAGTGGCCTTCAGCTCTTCTGAATTGTTGGTCTGGTGTATCACATCTTCCTCTTCACAATACTCCATATATTTTCTACGGGGTTAAGGTCAGGTGAGTGTACTGGCCAATTAAGAACAGGAATCCCATGGTCCTTAAACCAGGTACTGGTAGCTTTGGCACTGTGTGCAGGTGCCAAGTCCTGTCGGAAAACGAAATCTGCATCTCCATAAAGTTGGTCAGCAGCAGGAAGCATGAAGTGCTCTAAAACTTCCTGGTAGATGGCTGCGTTGAGCTTGGACCTCAGAAAACACAGTGGACCAACACCAGCAGATGACATGTCCCCCCAAACCATCACTGACTGTGGAAATTTGACACTGGACCTCAAGCAACGTGGATTCTGTGCCTCTCTTTTCCTCCAGACTTGGGGACCTTGATTTCCAAAGGGAATGCAACATTTACTTTCATCAGAGAACATAACTTTGAACCACTCAGCAGCAGTCCCAGGTGAGACGCTTCTGACGATGTCTCTTGTTCAAGAGTGGCTTGACACAAGGACTGTGACAGCTGAACCCCTTGTCTTGCATACGTCTGAGCATGGTGGTTCTTGAAGCACTGACTTCAGCTGCAGTCCTCTCTTTGTGAATCTCCCCCCACATTTTGGAATGAGTTTTGTTTCACAGTCCTCTCCAGGGTGCGGTTATCCTTATTGCTTGTACACTTTTTTCCTACCACATCTTTCCCTTCTCTTCACCTCTCTATTAATGTGCTTGGACACAGAGCTCTGTGAACAGCCAGCCTCTTTAGCAATGACCTTGTGTGTCTTGCCACCCTGTGCAAGGTGTCAATGGTCGTCTTTTGGACAACTGTCAGGTCAGCAGTCTTCTCCATGATTGTGTAGCCTACAGAACTAGACTGAGAGACCATTTAAAGGCCTTTGCAAGTGTTTTGAGTTAATTATCTGATTAGAGTGTGGCACCAGGTGTCTTCATCTTTGAACCTTTTCACAATGTTCTAATTTTCTGAGATACTGAATTTGGGGTTTTCATTAGTTGTTGTTTATAATCATCAACATTAAAAGAAATAAACGTGAAATAAGTCTGTGAGTAATGAATGAATATAATACACAAGTTTCACTTTCTGAATGGATTTACTGAAATAAATCAACTTTTTCATGATATTCTAATTTGATGACCAGCACCTGTATATAAATGATTCATTTTTTAAACCCATCCACATCAAGATGGCTACCACAGCTAATGGATATTATTCAACACCGAAAAAGGCTATACCTCGCTCATTTTAACATATGTTAAGCTAAAATTTGATGTGGTAGTAGCTGAGAGTCATTTACAGCACTTGATGCGTGAAGGCAACTCCAGCCCAGATTTGAGAATACGACACTTTTCTGTTCATCGTTACTGACATTAAGCAAAAAACCTGTGTGTTTCTGAGGCTCATGTTCAACAGAGAGCTTCTTTGTGTCACTGAATTTATGTGAAACTCTTTGGAAGCAGCTGCCCTCTTGTTCTCCACGAAGAACGAGGCCTTTTCCGAGGACAGAAACCGGAGTGTGTTTTAAAGGGCTTGCACGAGCCTGTCAGTTCCCGGTTTGATTTCTTTTCCCTTTCCTCTTGAATTTTTCCTCCGGTGTCCGGGAATGTGTTGCTTTCTGTTAAAGCTCACACGTGGATGTGAGCGGAGCAGCTCCTCCTCTGTTAGTTATCCATTTGTTTTCCATCATTTGGACCCATCAGAGTCAGCACATCGGCTGTGAGTCATGCAGGGGGGGTGGATGTCTGGGCTGGGTGTGGCGGGCGAGGGAACCTGCGGATGCTTGCGGCTGACAGCGGAGGAATAAAGCATCTAATTTCTCCTTTATTGCATAAATGTAAATAAGCAGATTGGGAAGACTTTGTTGTTGTTGTGATTATAGAGTGAAGCAGCCTCTCATTTAGGAGCGTGCATGTGGGAAAAAACAGTTCTCAGTGCAACTAGGAATATTATAATTATCCTGTGAAAGAGGAGCAGAGAACTGATCCTGGAACAGCTGCAAAGCAAAATTTCTGATCAGTTCACTTTTTTATCATTGCTCGCATGTGTGTTCATGTGTTGGTCTGTTAGCAAAATATCTCATCAAACACAATATGGATTTGAACCAAACTCTCAGAGACGAATGCACCTCTACAAGTGAATAACTTTCGGAGTTAACCCAGTCCAAGATGACCGCCACAGCTAACTGAACTTGTAAAAAAACAAAAGGCTATACAACTCAGTCAGTTTTACAGATCTATTGTTAAATTTGGTGTGGTTGATGCTGAGGGTCGTTCACAACGCTTATCTTAAGTGCACTGATCAAGACCTTTGCTCAAACTTTTGCATGAACTTTTGTCATCAACCTTGTCTGTCTGTTAGCAAAATATCACATAAACCGCTGTGCAGATTTTAATAAAACTTTAAAAAAATAGTCATTGCACTTACATGTACAAGTGATTGACATTAAGAGTCACTGCAATTAAAGATGGACGCTGCAGCTAGTAGACATTAGCAAACCCAAAAAAGTCTATAGATCAGTCAATTTGACATGTATTGAGCTAAAATTTACTGTGGTAGTAGCTGATAATTATTCACAACACATATGTTTAGCATCTTGCTATATCCAAAAATATTGTTTGAAATGTTGGACCGCAACATTCACAACTCCGTCACTTCTCAACTCAAGATGATCTCAATGGAAAACCATGGCAGGAAAAGCAGCGGGCGATATGCATTCCTTGGATGGATGCCAGGCCTTTAATATATGTTGTGAAATACCCCACTGGTTGCTTTCTGCAGCCTATATATACATCAATAACTGAGTTGTTTTTTTCTTCTTCTTCTTCCAATATGGGCTCCAGATGTGTTCCAGCTGCAGCAGATCAGCAAACCTGAAACGGAGGAAGGTAAAAAAAAAAAAAAAAAAAGGAAGAAAACTCCCAAATCTTTTTTTTTTTTTTTTTCAAAACCTCCCTCCTCCTCATGAAACTTTATTCTGCTCGAAAAGAGGTGACTAAACCAGAGGAGCAGCAGCAGCAGCAGGGAGAGGAGGAGTTTATCACTTTGTGCACAGAGGCGGACTTTCTGTGTCTGCAGGGCTGAGGGAGGGAGAAGCGCCCCCCCAGGCGCTCATTACTTTCTCCTTTCTTTTCTTCTCTTCAGTCTTCAGCTTTCCGTGCAGACTGCCACACCTGCCTGCCAAGCTGCGGCTCTGGTGGGCGCGGCTGGACCTGGGCCCGAACCTCTCTGTTTGGACTCGCCTGGGAAAGTTGAGCGCAAGAAGAAAACCGAGGAGTTTTTTTTTTTATTTAGAGGACATCCCTGCATGCGCACTTCATCCTGAGAGGACTCGGCTTGTTCAAGTTGGCAACAGAAGGTACGGATTTTAAAACAATAGTTCCTCTTTATTGTTGGGGGGTAAATGGAAACTTTTTCCTTTTGTCTGGGAGTTATGGTGCAGCATCATTTTCTGTCAAGATCATCATCATCATCATCATTATTATTATTTTAGCTGGCATGGCTTTAACTTCACTTTTATATGAATGCCAGTCTTTCCTCAAGTACTTGTCAGGTGGAGTGTTAAATCCACCATAGGTTTTTTTTTGGGGGGGGGGATAGTTTACACCTCGATTTGCTGTGCTATATTCACATCCTTCTAAATATACTGCAGCATCTAACTGTTACACTGGGGTGGGGGTGGGGGTGGGGGTATCAAGCCCTGATAATTGCAGCTCAGATCAGTTGCAGGCTGAACCAGGCGGATGTGGAGTGGATTAAATGTTGATTTTTATGGGTAACCTTCCTTTATATCAGGGGTCTGCCAAGATTTATAATCAAAACAGTCATTTCTGCCCCTGCGCTGAGTTCATAAAATAGTTTCTATAAAATGAGCCACGAGGTTATCAACTGGTGGCCCGCGGGCCACTAACGGTTCGCTTAATGGGTGCTTTTCAAATGCCAGTGATGAGGAGGGTGATCCCTGAGCTCAAAGTTTCTGCAGAGTCATTAAAAGTCATTAAATTTGTGCATGCATTGCGTTTTTCATCCATTTTTTTAATTTTTATAATGCACAGCTGGTGTTTATTTGTTTGTGTGTTGTTCAGATGTTGTCACGCTAAAGAGCCGTGCAGCAGATATCCTGCAGGAGAAAATGACACACAGAGTAAATCTGGTTGCTTTGCTCCTCAAAACTGTTTTTTTTTTTTTTTATAATAATTTAGCTCAGATTTAAACAAAAGGCTATGACTTTTGTTGCTTTGAAAGGGATTTTACGGCTTGTTAGTTGTTCATAATCGACGAGGGTCTTAAAGCTTCTCGTTGCAAAGTCACGAAGGCTGAACAACTGAATCATTTAATCATTTTTTCATACTGATCGGTCCTCAAAATGTAAACTTGTGAGCAAGTTCTAAGACGTGATATGGTCGAGGATCATCAGCTTTTTATGTTTGATTTCATACTTTGCAATGAATACCTTTAAATTAAAATCTTAACACTCTTTAAATAATAATAGTAATAATAACAATTTCATTCCACTACATGTACCACATGTGGTGCATGGGACAAATAGACATTTTGACTTTGACTTTTTTAACTTTAAACTCCTAAATTTCAAACGACCAAAACGTGCAGAAACCTGTTAAATACAGAATATAAACAAACCTCACTTTATTACATGATGAAAATAAAAATACACAATAAACTTTGACTCATTTATACTTTTACATGTCGAGACAAAAAATCTATTAAAGTCAAGAAAAAGCAACATATTTCACCACTTCTACCCCCTTTGTTAAAATGAGTGGACTCAGCAGCCTGCGTGAGTTATTTCTTTAGTTGTGAAAATGTTCATTATGTACCACTCTTTGAAATAATAAAGGACAGTTGGTTGGGTGTTTAATGGTTATTGATTGAAATTTTTAAAATAAAAAGGCCTTTATTGGCTTTGACTTTAATTAGGTTTTGATTAAATTCTTATTGTCATCATATAGACTTGCCATATATA